TCCCCGCGAATTCTCGCCGCTGCAACGGATCCACCAGGCCAGTGAGAAGCCATGCCGTCTCCCAATCGCCATGGTTCAGCACACACTGGATTTTCGCTTTGAGATTCTGCACGAGTTGTGCAGCCGCTGCGTCCGCCTGATTGGACCTTATCAGCTCGTAAGCTGCCACATCCATCAAAGCGCACCTGTAGATTCCGCGAAATTTTCCCCAAGACTGTTTGCGAACATAATCCCGCAGAGTCCAAGCTTGGCCCGGCACAATCCCGAGCTCCTCGATCACCTCTTTCTCGAATAGCTCGCAAATCTTCCGGGGCCGATGCTTGATCTGACGGTGCATCCGATGGAGCGTGCTCACAGCCTTCATCCCTTTGTGTCCGCCCTCGCTCTCGCTTGAGCTGCCTGAGGACGAAAAACCAAGGAGCCCTAAATCGTCGTTGCTGCTGCTGGCCCGGTCCTTCTTCTTCTTCTTGCTCCCCTGATCGCGGTCCAAGAGAAGACCCATCATCATGACCGGCAAGAGGTCGGACGGGCTTTGCCCTGAAGCCAGCCCTGAGGCCACCAACCTTTTTAGGTCCAGCTCGTCTTCCTTCTTGCTCTCTGCCTTCTTCTTTTTCCGGTCCCCCAAAGATATGGACTGTCCTGGAGCCAGAAAAGACCCACGACCCCCTTTTGGCGGAAGGTCCTCGTCGTCGTCGTCCGTGTCGTCGCCTTCCCCCCCCACTCCAGCAAATAGCCCCTGAAGATTGCCCAGATCGCTCGCAAGTCCCCGGCGAGGTCGCCGCCCTTGCGGCCTTTCTACCTCGACCGGCTCGGTCTCGCTGCTCACTAAATCTGCACTTACCTTCTTCCAGGCTGTCCTGCATGACGTGATGTCGGGAAGTTCGCTAGGCCGCGGGCCCTTCCATTCCCTAGGCTGCTGAGTGCTCACGCTATCAAGGCCCACCCTGACGAATCCAACCTCCTTGGTCCCAGTTTTTGCCTTTGTCGAGTTTGCAACCTCTGGTATCGGAACAGTACCCAGTATAACGTCTTCGCCCTGCTGCTCCAGAACCCAACCGCACACCGAGGCCGTCCCAGAGTCAGAGACACAAAGGCAGTAAACCAAATCGTCAGCACGGGCCATGACCTAAAACCCTCTAAGAACTTGAGATCAGAAGCAGCGGTGTGCCTATCATCCCTCCACGTCCACAGCATGTACTGGAGCACCTGAGATCGTGAGCATCAGGAATTAGGGGGGCAACCCACCTATGGGAGTTCATCAGAGACCTCCCTGCAAACCATCCCTGATAATGCTACGTAATGATAGACATACCCCCACCCACACGCCCAATAGTAAACATGTCCCTCAATATCTAAAGTCTCTCATAATAGAAAATACTTAATCCATATATCTCCCTCGAGTCCTGCGGGCCGCCAATTTTGGTGGAACTCCCATGCAGCTCTAGTTATTGGTTGTTAGTAGGGAATAACCCTGTATAATTCATTCCCATATTCCCTACGAACCCCCCATGTTGCTCTAAGGTCTTGCCAGGTTCGGAGCCGAACGAACACCACCCGACTGTCTACGGTTCCAGGCTTGTGTAGGGCCTGGGGTCTGTTTAAAGGTTGTGTGGGGTTTAGGGCTTAGTGTTTAGGGTTTAGGGTTGAGCTTGGGATTTCCGGCTTTTGGTTTTAAAACCTCCTTGATTTGGACTGCCTCTTACGTCGGGACTTTAAGGCCAAGATCTAGGTTCTGATCGAAATCCAAAGACCCCCAAGCCACAAACTCTAAATTCCCAACACCTCAAAAACCCAAACCCTGAACCCTAAAGCGCCAGCGCTTGAAAACCTGCCTTGCAGCGGGAAACGCAAAAGCCTTTCTCATTGAGGAAGACACCCTCCCTGGGCACACCATTCTTGAATCTGCCTCATGGGATGCGCAGGGTTATATTGGGGTCCATATTGGGGTTACCTATTGGGGTTATATAAGGATAATGGAAAAGAAAATGGAAACGCTAGGTCCCTTTAAAGGGAGATATAGGGATTACATTGGGGTATATATTGGGGTTATATACGGATAATGGAAAACGAAATGGAAACTACTCAAATGGGTTTTTGGGTTGAGGGCTTAGGGTATAGGGTTTATGGTTTAGTGGGTTTAGGGCTTAGTGTTTGGGGTTGAGGGCTTAGGGTATAGGGTTTACAGTTTAGTGGGTTTAGGGCTTAGGGTTTGGGGTTGAGGGCTTAGGGTATAGGGTGTATAGTTTTAGCGGGTTTAGGGTTTAGGGCTGAGGGTTTAGGGTTGCGGGTTTAGGGGGGCTTAGGGTGTAGAGGGCGGGAGTTTCTCCAAAAGGCGGCTTTAAACTTTAGGGGGCCCTCAGGAAGGTGTGGACTACACTCAATACGTCACACATTTAGCTAATGGACAAGACCATCCTTAAGGGTCCTTTGGTAAACCTTAAACCCTAAAGCCGCAACATGATGATTCCCAAAAGATTATGGGAGCCTCGGCTAAGGATTCTACAGGGGCGACTTTGAAAATCCCCTTGATCAGCTTGGGTTTAGGGTTTCAGGGGTTCAGCATTTTAGGGTTTCACCGGTTTAGGGCTTCAGGGTTCTAGGATTTGTTTAGGGGATGAAGGTTTCAGATTTAGAGGTTTAGGGTCTGGGGTTCAAGCCAGCGTAGATGTTAGGTTTAGGTCGGATACGGTACTCATCGTATAACTATCAAAACAAGATCCTGACCTAGAATGGAGTATTGCTGAAGCTCAAGTAACCCACATTAGCCTAGGAAGAAACGAGGATCCTTTTTATTTAAGTATAAGGAATCCCATACCCCAAAAAGTATAGAGGATCCCTAACATTGATCCAGTAACAGCTTCCATTTCACTGACCAGAGGAGCCCCACGACCCTTACTCCTCTGCCCCAGCCCTGGGAAACTCTTGTCGATCCCCATCCCTGAAACCCGCTACCGGCCCAAACAGACTCCACCATGTTTGCGAAACAAGCTGCCAATGAAGGCTTCGTAGTTTGTGCTGCTCCAAAAGAGGCGTCCTCAAGGCTTAGGCTTAGGAATTCTTAGTTTTCCTGAATAGGGTGATCCCAATATACTATAGTCCCTTTTATAGGGACCCCCAAAATGGTACCCTTAATTTTGGGAAACTCCCATTTACTTGCTGATGGTTCGCAGGGAACCGTAGCATGGATCCCAAAACAATCATACTCCCCACAATCCCCTGCTTCATTCCCTACTAACTTCCGATAAGGTTCCCTAAACCCTAAACCCTTTTATTTTTGGGAGTGTGGTTTGGGATCTAGAATGCTGTGGGTTGAAGGTACTTTGCAGGTACAATAGCTTTGAACATCTATGCGCGCCAAGACCACTGCGCCACAGGATCCGAAAACCCATTGAGGGTTTAGGGTGTACGGTTTAGGGTTTAGGGTTGGAGGCCTGAATGATCAAGCAACAATGAGCGAATGATCAAAGTCGTCCCGAAATTGTTGGCGAGGTTTTGGGACACTTAAGGTTGAAGCTGAGGCTAGGAGCTGAGGGATTAGGGCTTGGAGTTTTGAGTCTAGGGTTTGGCAACTTCAATTCCACACTTGGCACCTTGTGGCAAGCATGACCATTATAAGGTCCTGGTTTGGGAGGTAGCAAAGATCCTCGTTTCAGATCTGACTACGCTGATTTAGGTCAGGCAAAGGCAGAAACTGAATGGATGGACCGTACGGAAAGAGGATAGTTAGTACGTAGGGAGTTGATACAACCCCCTGTACAACACATGTAGCACAGATCCCACATTCCCTGTGTAGCCCTTTGTGGAAACCCTGAATCTAAACGATAAGCGCACTCTGAGTTGCGCATATACCAGCTAACACGTTGCTAGATCCCTACTTGGAAGCTCACGGGACTTAGTAACTACTCATAACTGGGCGTATAAGGTTTAGGGTTTGGAGCTATCCGCACTTATCACTGGGGCAAACTATACAAGGCCAGTTAAGTAGAAAATAAGTGGGTTATAAGCCCAGCTATTCGCAGTTACCAAATCCCATGAACCTCAAGTAGTCGAACTCCTCTCGTCTTCTACAGCCCGAGGCCTAAACCCAACCCTACTCTGAGTAGGACCCAGAAGCCTGGTCTGTGAAACCTACGCCCCAAGTTTGAAAGGCCAATTCCTAAACCTTATGCCCCAAGCCCCATCACCCGTTGCGTCCTCTTCCGTGGGGAACCTCACCCACAAACTCACCAATGTAGATGGCAGCACCATCCGGGTCAATGAGCGTGTCTTCGTAGACCTGCCACAACTGCATGCTCCCTAGTACAAATCCGGAACTTGTGAACTGTAGTCTAAACTACTCGTATCCCTCCTCTATGGCTCCTATAATACTCCCCTATATCATCCCCCATACAACCCCTAAACCCTAAACCCTATGCCCCAAACACTAAACCCAAAATTAAGGGGTTATATATACCCTAAACCCGAAATTAAGGGGGATATATAATCCCATATACAACCTAAGTTTAAGGAGTTCAAACTACAGCCCATGTAAGGATCCTAAGGGCAAGACCTGCTACGGACTGCCAGGGCCAATCCATCTACAACCTTCTTCACCCAAACCTGAGAGTTTATAGCCGCCCTTAAGTCGATAGAATATTGTGTTTAGGGTTTAGAGTATAGGGTTTAGGGTATATGGTTTAGGGTATATGGTTTAGGGTATAAGTTTTAGGGTTTAGGGTATAGTCCCCCTTATTTATGTAGAATATAGGGGTTATATTGGGATGATGGAAAAGAAAATGGAAACTACTATTTAGGGTTTAGGTTTTAGGGTATAGTCCCCCTTAAGTAGATGGAATGTTGGGTTATTATATTGGGATAACTGAAAAGAAAATGGAAACTGCAATTTAGGGTTTAGGGTCTCCCTTAAGTAGACAGAGTATGGCTTTGGGTATCTTATAATAAGATCCCCATATACCCCATATTCTATCTACTTAAGGGGGAGTTTAGGGCTTAGAGGGTTTCTCTGCAAACACTACTGACACCCAAAAAATGGCAAACCCTGGACCCTAAGCCTAAAACCCTACTCCCCGAAACCCAAACCCCGAACCCTAAACGTTGAGGCCTAAGCCCAAAACCCCAATCCACGGACCCTAAACCCTAAACCCTAAACCCTAACCCCAACACCCTAATCCACGGACCCTAAACCCTAAACCCTAGACCCAAAACTCCAAGACCCTAGACCCTAAACCCTAAGCCCCTACTTTACAGAGCCGTGCAAAGCCTCACTGAGATGGCGCCAAAGCGCGCGCAAGCACAGAAAAGCGCGCGCACGGCCCTAGCAAAAAACCCTTAGCCCAAAGCGCCTTGCCCTCCTGGATGCTGGCAGCCTCGGCTGTCATCTCTATGAAAATGCTTTGGGGTTTAGGGGTTTGGGGTTTAGGGGTGTAGGGGTTTAGGGTTTCAGGGTTTAGGGGTTGTGGGGGAGTGCTATATATCTTCCACCCCAATCCCGAACCCTAAACCATATGAACCTATCTACAAGCCCCCACATATTACAAACCGTATTCCAGGTACCCCACTTGGTTTCAGGGCTTCCAAAAATTGCCAGTTTCGGAAATCCTGAAACCCTTAACCCTCAAAGTCTGTTGCCACCCTGCAGTCATGGAGTCAGAAAAGGAAACTGGCGCAAAACATGTAAGAAGGCCAGCACCTCTTGGAATCTAGAAGCTTGGGCTTTTGGGTTTAGGGTATGAGGTTTGGCATGCTTCGCTAGGAGACTGCAATATTAAGGAGTGAACATCAGCAAAAGCAACGAAATCCTATTTACGGTTTAGGGTTGAATGCCGCAAGCCTAAACCAAAACCCCTTCAACCTTGACCAGCAACCAAAAAGCCGAGTTCCAAATTGAAGCACAAGACCCTGAATCCTAAACCCTTAGCCTTTAACCACAGGGTTATAGTCCCCCTTAAGTAGATACAGTATGGGGTATATGGGGATCTCATTATCATATACCCAAAGCCATATTGTATCTACTTAAGGGGGACTATACACGCTTGACGGCTCTAGGGCTTAAGACCGACAGCCTGGACTCCAAAAGACCAAAGCCCGAAAACCTCAAACCCACCTTGCTAGGGCTTAGGGTTTTGGGTTCAGGGTTTAGGGTTTAGGGTTTAAGGGTATAGGTTTTAGGGTTTAAGGGTTTAGGGTTCAGGGTTTAGGGTTAAGGGAACTAATCCATGATCATTAAGGAATACGTAGTAACTTTCAGATGTTAACTCTTCTGCTACTACAAATCTGATTTAAAACTGAACCCTGAAACCCTCAAACTTCTACTTGTTTTTACTCATGCCGAATCATTGATGCGTAATTGTTGGCCATCAGGTATTAATTCGGATTTTGGTACTATTGTTTTAAGACCTGGACCGTATTCTCTAAACCCTAAACCCCTCAGCAACGGATGTCAAGCAGCTGTCTTATCGAATGACACGCGACCATGGGCTTCCTCCGCGTGTCTGCACTTGAACGGGTCCGGGATGTGGGGTTCTGGGGTCTAGGTAAGCCCTAAACTCTAAACCCAAACCCGACACCCCAGGGTGTAGGGTTTCGGGTTGGTTTGTTGGGGACGTTCCATCTCATAGGGTTTAGGGTTTGGGGATGCAAAGTTGGGTTTGGGGCTTAAAGACTTAGGACCGTGGTGTCCGAATGTTTGAGCTCGAAACCCCTGTGGTATAAGTACTTGCAGACTCCTTTTTCACCTGTGAAAAGACTTGGGACTCAGGGTTGAGCATGTAGGGGCCCAAGGCTTCAAGCTACACTGCCCTACTCCCCAAACCCTGGTCCCTAAACTCTACAAACTCAAAACCCCAAACTCCATACCTTAAACCTCCGACTCCAATCCCCAAACCCCTTCCATGTTCTTCTTCGGTCCTGTGCGCCGATTGCGCCCAACGTGCCGCCTACGTCCAATTTAGAACAGGCCAGCGCATAGAGGTCGGGATTTCATGGGGCCTAGGGTTCAGAATCAGGTTTGGATTTAGGACTTTAGGGTTTAGGGACTCAATCTTACAGCTCTATGGTTCAGGGTCTATGGCTTAGGGTTTTGGGGTTGGGGTTCACAGGCTTGAGGTTCTATGGCTTGGGTGTTGGGGTTTGGGATGTCCAGATGTTGGGTTTTTAAGCCTAGGGCTGATGATGAGTGTCTCTCTTGCTCCAGACAGTAACCGTGAAAGAGGTCAAGGTAAATCTGATCTTTCTGGACAGCATGCCGATGCGTGCTAATGTTGCTATGTGCATGCGCCGTGCTGATATGCGGCTGACGTCATCACTTCGATAAGCAGTAATGATTAATCGCTTCAGGGTTGAACGCAGTCACCACTGGCCTTGACGAGAGCAAAAAGCAGGCGGCTGCTGTTTAAAGTTTTAAGCCAAAGCCGCTGGCGGTGGCCGCTCAGGGCTGTTAATGACCTCAAGCTAAACTGGCCGCTCAGCAGCTGGCGCGGAATCCGCTCGCTCTTCCTCGGCCAGGCCCTCCTGAACACGGCGGCGGATGACGAAGGCATTCGTCTCCCGCACGTTGGGCTCAACCTGCGGGATCGTACTCAGGACGTCTGAGACAATCTGGTCAACAACAGCTTGAGCCGGAGTGACAGTTCGTCTCGCTTGAAAACATTACATTGATCAGTTTGAGCTTTGTTGCTTTTTGGTCTAGGAGCCTGTATTTGGGACTCTGGCACTTGAGGCTCAAGATTCATTAGCCCTGAATACTGAACCCTAAACTACTTGGAACTTCACTGCTGATATGCTGCTGTTCGTGTCTTAACCCGCGGCCTCTGAGGGCGATGGGATGGAAAAATGCATTTGTCAGTCTGTAAGGTTTAGGGTTTAGGATTGAGGGTTTAGACTTGAGGGTTTAGGGCATGGGGTTTAGGGCCCAGGGTTTAGGGCTGGGGGTTTGGGGTTCAGGGTTTAAGGTTTAGGGTTTAGGATTATGTGGCTAGATCTCCGGCATACTGTAGGGCTTTTGAATAAGGCCTGCGGGTTTTATACACGAAATTTACATGAAGATTCAGACTTCTCCTATCAAGCCTAAACGCCAAGCCCTGAAGCTACCCTATGTACCCTATAGCCAACCCATCAACCCTCACAAGGGGTCCGAAAGTAATCCTCTTCCCGGAATGACAACCCCTCCCCGACACCCTAGCAATTAATGCCTACAATATAATACCACTACTATTTTGTTACTCGGGGGAATATGATTGTTGAAGGTGAGGGGGCAACCCTCCCGAACCCTGAACTCTAAACCTTACACTCTGAACCATAAATTCTAAACCATAAACTCTAAACCCTAAATTCTGAACCCTAAACTCTAAACCCTCAACCCTGAAGCGCAAACCCAACATCGAAGGGAATGCCCACACAAGACTGCAACCATTCCCAGCGTTCATGTGCCTTAGGGTTTAGGGGATAGGGCTTGGGGCTTAGGGGTCAGGGTTTAGGTTTTTTAGGGAATAGGGCTCAAGTGTATGGAGTTTGAAGTTTTTGTTGTTGGGGGGGGGGGGGGGGNNGAACCCTCCACCCTAAACCCCTAAGGGTTTAGAGTTTGAAATTTAGGGTGTGATAAAATCCGAGGCATTAGTGGAGCGCGGTCAGGTTAGAGCATTTCCTCTAAATTGAGGGAATCTCAGGGAGCTCCTCTGGGAATCTGAGGGATCATAGTTAGAGTGCAGGGCTCCTCCCCTCTAGGATTATGTAGGTGATGGTTTTGAGACAAGCCCAAATTGGGAAAGCCCACTTCGGATGCACCAGACTCATAAGGGATGCCCCCAAACAGAGCTACTTAGCTACGTTTTGGAGACCCCGAGGATAAGACTCCCTTGTCGGGGTTGAACAGGGATTCTTTTGAGCATTCTCATGCCCGTCCCAAAACCCCATGGTTTCCTTACGGCCTAGGCCCTGCCCTCGAACTGCAGATCAAAGCTTCAGGGTTTAGGATCTAAGGTTGTAGGGAATTTGTTGGGTGTCACCGTTTGGTCCTTGTGATCACAACCCCCAAGTTGGGACAATCCCCGAAAAGTAATGGGTGCCAGAAGGGACTATTGCAGGTATACTAAGGCCCCATGAACTCCATATCTAAGGGCGATTACTGTAGGGGTATTGACCTAATCCCAAAGCTCTACGCCTCGGATTCTGAAACTTGAAGCTCTCAGCCACTTTCCTTGAGCTGCGATCATCTTTGCCATTGGCCCAAAATCTCCAGGAGATCCTCGTCCCGGGATTTACTGGGCTCCATCTCCTCCAGCAAGAAGCGGACACACGAGTCCTTGGCATGACATTGGCACACGAACACCGAATCCAGAAGGTTTAGGGGTTTAGGGTTTAGGGTTTAGGTTTTAGGGTTTAGGGCTCTGCAGGTAGGCAGCCGGGATTTTCCCCCAAGCGGCCACGGTGACGACAAGTTCCCTATCCGGCATCTCCTCGCCAACGGCCAAGGCCGTTGAGCTCGCCGAGAAAAGAAGATTAAGACCCCTCAGCCCTAAAACCCTAAACCCTGAACTCTAAATCCCTAGATCCATAAATCCCTGAAGCCCTAGCCCGAAGCCCTAAACTCCGGACGCCACCACACCCAAACTCAAGTCCCGGAACCTGAGGGGATTATATAAGGGACTCTATAGGTATGATTAAGGGGGAATGACTAGGAGTTTAGACGATGGCTCGTTGAGGGTTTGGAGTTGCTGAACTTTGTAGTTCTTCATTCCTTGCTAGGGTTCGATATGACGAAAACCAGAAAAAGTTGTATGACAGTAGACCCAAAACCCTCTAAAATGCTGTTGAAGTGCTTTAAAAAACATCATTTCCAATGGCTGCTGCGTCCTGCATACATAAGCTAGCATGTAAAACCAAATTGAACGAGAACCGGAAGCCTATGCAATCCCGATTCCAAGTCGAGGTCTTTTCGTGTGCTTCTCTACTGTTCAAGTTATTGTCGCCCCTACATCCTAAACTGCCCTAAACCCTGAGTTCTACTGACTCGCCATCCTAGGTCCTAGACCCCCTAAAGGATCCAAAAAATGGAACCCCCCAAAATGATCCCCATTACTAAATTGGGGAAACTAAGGGACTACTGCGGGGTTCCATTTTTTGGATCCTTTAGGGGGTCTGCTCTAAACCCTAAACCCTAAACCCTAAGTTCTACTGACTCGCCATTCTACACGTCCCCAAAACCCCGAGAAAAGGAGTTTTCCCAAAATTAAGGGTACCTTTTTGGGGTCCCCAGATGTAAGGATTACAGTATTTGGGGGTCTATATTGGGGTCCCCCTATTCTTTAAAATCCTAAACCCTAAACCCTAAAACTTAAACCCTAAACCCTTGTGGGTCTGCCATTCTACACGTCGCAAACACCACAAAAAAAAAAAAAAAAAAGATGATGCCGCCTGCAAGGCAGGCGACGCCTCCAAGAGTTGGTGCCTCGGCATCCTGCGACCCACAAAGGTTTAGGGTTTAAGGTTTAGGGTTTAGGGTTTAAGGTTTAGGGTTTAAGGTTTAGGGTTTAGGGTGCAACCCAAATAGATTTAAGGTTTAGGGCTTCAGGTTCAAGGTAGACTGGGTTGCTGTTAAGGAACTTAATTCAAATTGGCATAATATGGATATATAGTAAATGATACTAGGGGTTTCTTAGTCAAGTATCTTAAGTTCCCGAACAGCAGCCCAGTAGGTTTCGGGTGTAAGGTTGAAGGCTTCAGGTTAAGAGCTGCAAGCTTAGAATTTGTGGGGTTTCACTCTTCTAGGATCAACATTGGCTGCAAAGCTTGCGGGTTTTAAAGATTCAGGGGATCTTCAATGTTTGATAGTTTGATGTTCAAGGCGTAAATGTGTTTGAGGAACTGCGCGCGACGGGGCGTTACTTTTGAATTCAAGGATTTCTTAAGTCATCTCTTTCATGGCTGTCTTATAAACTTGTGATGCATTTTATTTTCCACAACCAACAACGAATCCTAAGGTTTCATCATCATTGGACATACTTGCACGTGGTCTTCGGGATGGCAGATGATGCACTAATCGGTTCCTTTTTCATAAATATAAGGAATCCCATACCCCAAAACGTATAAAGGATTCCTAACATTGATCCAGGGTCAGCCTCCCTTTCAACCTGTCTTCGTAACAACGACTCGAAAAACTTCCACGAGAAGATCGATGCGGTAGACACTGCCAGCAAGAACATAAAGGCAATCACTCTGAGGCGCATACCACTACCTACTGCAGCACACACTCACAGTAGCATGTATAACCTGGTACCCTTTGATTTTGCAATCAACTTGGACAAAACAACAATTGAAGATTGCAATCGCAACTATTTCTCTATGTCAGCGCGAGCTTTGGGGGGTGGGGGAAGTATGGGGGGGTTGTAGGGGAACCCATGAATAATGAAATCTGCATGGGCACTTGTTGATCCTGATGGTCCTTGCTCTTTCCAGTGAGTCGCATGACATTTAGCCGAAAAACGCTGAACCCTGAATTCCCCACCCTACCATCCCCACCTAAGCCCTGCATTGCTTGGGATTTCCGGTGTCATTGTCTCATGAGTCATGAAAATACGCCCTGCCAGCATACCCTAGACCAAGATCTCGACAGAGAAAAGGGGGGCAAAAGGCAACGCAGGAACGAAATGAACGCTACACGTTTCGTCATCCGAAATTCCAAGGCTCATCCAAGTGATTGAAGAGTATGAGCTGGTAATCATGTCTTAGCCCACATTACCCTAGGAAGAAAAAAGGATGACTTTTACTTAAATATAAGGAATCCCATACCCCAAAAAGTATAAAGGATCCCTAACATTGATCCAGATGTAGGATAAAAGCAAAAACTGTACTCTTAGCATGTGTGCAGTCAAACCGCGCACTCAATCAACGCTCCCGAACCCCTTTATGCCGAATACGCACAACAGCCAGTAAAGATCCC